CACTGGGGAACAAAAGTGTCCCAATTCGCCGAGGTGTGAGGAGCATCTTACTGCGAGGCATGGTGAACAAGGTCTACTAAAATGGCGTTCCCACAATGCGCCACTGGATCCCAGAATTTTTTTCTACCACGCACACCGACCACTTAGACCCATTCTCTCATATCTAGGCCTACCAGCTGTTTCCCGCTTAATTTGAAGCTGCTAGAATTTATGCGTACTAGTACGGCACCAACCTTGGCACGCAAGCCGTACTAGTATGGCACCGACCCTGAAAGGGTTAAACTATGTATAATTGTACCTGTGTGTACCTGTGAGACAGATAAAGAGATAGAGACATAGATAGACAGACCCTAAACTTAGGGATAACATCACTTTCCTCTTAAAAGGGGAGTGTTAATATGACATTACATTAGTGAATCCTTGGTGTTTGCCGCACTGTTTGCCCTAGTTGGCGCTCAATTTAACTGGCGCTCCCACAAGGTACTAAGTGGTCCCAGATTTCTTTAATATGGTGCACACCGAGTGTTAAGACCCAGTCTATGCTGACCAGGCATCTCAGGCCAATTGTGCCAAACTTGGAGGCAGGAATTTTTTTTTTTTTCAACAAGTCGGCCATCTCCCACTGAGGCAGGGTGACCCAAAAAAGAAAGAAAATCCCCAAAAAGAAAATACTTTTCATCATCATTCAACACTTTCACCACACTCACACATTATCACTGTTTTTGCAGAGGTGCTCAGAATACAACAGTTTAGAAGCATATACGTATAAAGATACACAACATATCCCTCCAAACTGCAAATATCCCAAACCCCTCCTTTAAAGTGCAGGCATTGTACTTCCCATTTCCAGGACTCAAGTCTGACTATATGAAAATAACCGGTTTCCCTGAATCCCTTCACTAAATATTACCCTGCTCATACTCCAACAGATCATCAGGTCCCAAGTACTATTCGTCTCCATTCACTCCTAACACGCTCACGCACGCTTGCTGGAAGTCCAAGCCCCTCGCCCACAAAACCTCCTATACCCCCTCTCTCCAGGAAAAATGTAACTTATAAATACGTTTGGACCATTTAGGGGTTAATTGTAAAATATATTAAAAAAAAAACACATGAAATGCAACACAAGGAGCTCACAGTGAATGAACGCACATCTGACCGAGACTTACTACAAAGCGAGGGTCCCTGTTAGGTGTACACAAACAAAAGGAAGTGGGGAAAATTGGCGCCTGCGAAAAAATGGAGCGGAATGTGAAAATTGGCATGGTTGTGTTTGTTCGACACCCGATTATGTGTCTGTGACCAGATGCAAAAATTTGGTGAATTTTTTGTTCATGAACAGATCTGTTCATGTTCGGAAGTGTTCATGACCAGAGGTTCCACTGTATTCCATACACTTGCAACATCTGGAACACTGCTCCCCTATCTACCCTATCATATGCCTTTGCTAAATCAACAAAAACTTCCCTACCTTTATCTAAATATTGTCACTTGACACATGACCCATAAAAAAAAAAAATATATTTTCTACAAAATATGCTCACTAGAATTTCTACACCCAAATTTCTTTCAACATTCTTACAAATATCAATGTTAATAAAAAACAATTTAAGAGATAGGCTCTCTAATGCAAAACAAGCCTAAAATCTGTAAACATTATTGTACAAACAATTAAAGGACTACAGTGGTCCCTCAATAATCGTCCAGCCTGAAAGTCGTCCATTTCGGAAATAGTCTCATTATTTCATCTAAACATTGGCTCACAAATGGCCCGTTAACTCATTAATTGTCCTTCGTCCAGGACGCGTACTATCTCTCTGAGCCGCCTCGGCCTCCCTTCCCAGCCAGTGTGCCATTGTTTATCAGTGAGCGACGGTCCCCTCACTTGCTCCTACGAAATATTTCATAATATTCCATTGATTTTAATGCTTGCAAGTGCTAAATAAGCTACCATGGTTCCGAAGAAAGCTCCTAGTTCCAAGCCTTTGGTAAAGAAGGAGAGAAATACGATTGTAAATAATTTAAGAAAAACATCATTGAACAATATGAAAGTGGCGTACGTGTGGGCAAACTGGCCAGGATGTATAACAAATCCCATACAACCATATCTTCCATCATAGCCAAGAAAAAGGAAATCAAGGATGCTGTTGTTACAAAGGGGGTAAATATGCTGACAAAAATGAGATCACCAGTACTCAAAGATGTTGAAAAGTTATTATTGGTGTGGATAAACGAGAAACAATTAGCAGGAGATAGTCCTATGACGTCGATTATTTGTGAAAAGGCTAGGCAGTTGCATGACGATTTGGTAAAGAAATTGCCTGCAACTAGTGGTGATGTAGTGAATTTAAGGCCACAAAAACTGGTTTGAGAGATTTAAGAAGCGTACTGGCATACACAGTGTGGTAAGGCATGGCGAGGCTGCCAGTTCTGACAACAAAGCAGCTGAAAAATATGTGCAGGAATTCAAGGAGTATATAGACACTGAAGGACTGAAACCTGAACAAGTGTTCAATTGTGATGAAACAGGCCTCTTTTATAAGAAAATGCCAAAGAGGACCTACATTACTCAGGAAGAAAAGGCACTGCCAGGACACAAGCCTATAAAAGACAGGCTGACGCTCATGTTCTGTGCTAATGCTAGTGGGGATTTCAAAGTGAAGCCATTACTAGTGTACCATTCTGAAAATCCCAGTGTGTTCAAGAAAAACAATGTTATGAAGAGTAAATTGTGTGTGTTTTGGAGATCTAATAGTAAGGCATGGGTCACTAGAGACATTTTCGTCGAGTGGTTCAATGAAGTGTTTGGCCCTAGTGTGAAGAATTACCTCCTGGAAAAGACATTGGATTTCAAGTGCCTCCTAGTAATGGACAATGCACCTGCTCATCCCCCAAACTTGGATGACCTAATTCTGAAGGAGTTTGGGTTCATCACAGTAAAGTTCTTGCCCCCTAATACCGCTCCTCTCCTCCAGCCCATGAACCAGCAAGTCATTTCAAACTTTAAAAAACTCTACACCAAAGCAATGTTTGAAAGGTGCTTTAATGTGACCTCAGACACCCACTTGACCCTAAGAGAGTTTTGGAAAGAACATTTCAGTATTCTCCATTGCATAAGCCTTATAGGTAAGGCTTGGGAGGGAGTGACTACCAGGACTTTGAACTCTGCTTGGAGAAAATTGTGGCCAGATTGTGTCCACAAGAGGGGTTTTGAAGGGTTTGAGGCAGCCCTTGATGAGCCTATGTCAGTTGTGAACTCTATTGTCGCATTGGGGAGTTCCATGGGGTTGGATGTGAGTTTGGAGGATGTGGAAGAGTTGGTGGAGGACCACAACGAAGAGTTAACCACTGAGGAGCTGCAAGAGCTTCAGCAGGAACAGCAACAGATCGCAGCTCAAAATCTTGCTGCAGAGGAGGAAGAAAGATAGAAGAAGGTGCCTTCTTCAGAAATTAAGGAGATTTTTGAAATGTGGGGTAGGATGGAAAGATTTATGGAGAAACATCACCCTGAGAAGGATGTTGCAAGCCATATCAGCAACTTGTACAGTGACAGAGTCTTGGCCCATTTTAGGGAAGTTTTAAAGAGACGCCAGAAACAGAGCTCTCTGGACAGTTTTTTTTTGCGAGACAGGACTCCAGTGACTCTCAAGGTGGTCCTAGTGGCATTAAGAAACAGAGAAGTAACCCCAGAAAAGCAATTGGTACCTGAGGTGTTGATGGAAGGGGATTCCCCTCTCAAACAGTAAATAATCCAATCTCTCTCCTCCTCCAGTCTTCCATACACTAAGATGAATTGCCAATAAAGGTAAGTGTTATTCTGTTAATGTTTCATTCATCATGTGCCATTGTATTGTTTATGTACATCTATATTTCATGTAAAAAAAATTTTTTGTTTTAATACTTCTGGGTGTCAGAAACGGATTAACTGCATTTACATTATTTCTAATGGGGAAAATTGATTCGAAAATCGTCCATTTCGATAATAGTCCCACTTCCAGGAACGGATTATGGACGATTATTGAGGGACCACTGTATTTGCAAATTCTAGATTGCTGGGACTTCCAGGAACCTAATCTCATGAATTTGGAATTTGCTGTACTCATTCCAACATGGCCTTTGGGAGTGCAATGTAGCCAATGAATGAGACATGCATCAAGATTTTAAGCCATCAAAATAAGCACTCTGAAATGGTAAAAGTAGGAGGGACAGAGAAAGCAACTCCACTGTGTATGGACAGAGATTTGGTGTATGCAAAAGTTATCAAGAAAATGCTACATTTTGGTAAGGATAAAGAAATTTAGTAGCACATGTACACAATGCATTTCATAGAAAGAAAATGGGGAGCTCAAGGAAAAGGTCTAATAAGAGAGAATGTGTTACTGCCAGACCACATTTAATTAGGGCTACCCAAATTTGATGCAAACTAGTTTGGGGGAAAATTCCCAAGAAATAGTCAACAGTAGTGAGATCAATGATTAACTTTTTAGTAGCTGATAATACATTCCAATATTCTTAAAAGTGAATCCATAAAACTAAACTAAAAGCGAGTAAAGCTATTTTACTAACATATTCACCCTGAACCAATTTAAATATCTAAATTATATTAATTCATGCACAAAACTGTAAAATAAAAATTAGGTTTCAATAATATATACATTACTATGTTTACTATACAAAGGCTATCTTGCAAATTTTTAAACCAATAAACGAATAAAAACAATGAAGCTAAGCTGCAATACTGCAATCCTTATATACCCAACATAACTGACATTAACATGTTAAAAATTAATATAAAGTATAATGTATTTTTAAACACGATGCAAAAGTTCTTTAATGAAACCTTTCATATTTCATATAAGCACTAATTAATCTATACAATAATTCACAGCTTTAACAGGAAAATGAAGTTCAAACAATACCATCTCATATTTTATGTCAAGCATGCAATAGAAAATTTAAATAACAGCAAATGCCAAGATAAAAAATTTAATTCTACTCACGAAGTCATCAAAAGCTGTAAACTGGTTTATACTGTGGCGATTGTGCCCAATGTGGGCAAGGTGATTGTGTATGGGCTGACGCATACTCCGAATCCCAGCTTCCACATCTTCTAAACTTTGTCCTTTACCATCCATCA